CAACTGTGAAATTTGCTCAATGACTGCCCCAAAAAAGGTCATAAAATCCCACTCAGTCACTTGGTGATTCGCTTAAAGACTGTAACGACTTACAACTATAATTCCGGGCTCAATTATTGCTGTAAGTTATCTGTAATGCTACTTAAGGATGCACAGTGATTCTGTTCATTGTTGTTCAGTCGCTAAGTCATGTCCGACTCTGCATTATCCTACGGGCCACAGCACACCAGACCCCTCATCCTCCATTGTCTCCTGGAGTTTGCCCAAATTCATGTTCATTGTCTCGATGACCCTATCTAACCATCTCATCCTCTGTCTTCCCCTTCTCCTTTTGCCTTCCATGTTTCCCAACATCAGGGTCTTTTCCAATGAATCTTTTCTTCTCATTTGGTGGCCAAAGTATTTGAGCTTCAGTATCTGGATTCTTCTTGGCACCAATGTTATTGTCCTAGAGTTGGGGTCCCCAGCCCCTGGTCCATGGACCAGTACCGGGCCACAGCGTGCCAGCAGTTGGGCCACACAAGCAAGCAAAGCCCCATCCGTGGGATGCAGGCAACACACAAAACCACACACCCTCCGGTCCGCGGAAACCTCTCTCCATGGAATTGGCCCCCGGTGCCCAAAAGGTTGGTGACCTCTGTCCTAGAGGTACCAGGAAAAACACTTTTCATTCTCCCAGGCATGTTTAATCAGTGAAGCTGTTTATTTTAAGCATATTTACTGCTTAGAAACTTCTACAGCGGCTGTTACTTTTATTACTTTATTACTTATATTATCGAGTGTTGTTGTCATTGTGTACAATGGTGGATTTTAACAATGGCTCTGAATTGTTCTATGGAGCTTTTCAGAGTGATGGAAAAACTCCCCGTGCTCAGGAAAACCCTGGTTTTAAACATTAGCAAAACCTTGAGAGCAGGGATCTCCAAACTTGGCCACTTTTTAAGACTTGTGGACGCCAACTCCCAGAATTCCCCAGCCAGCATGGGGAATTTGGGGAGTTGACTGAGAAATTCAGGCATGGCTGAGGAATTCTAGGCGCTGAAGTCCACAAGTCTTAAAGTTGCCAGGTTTAGAGAAAGAAATAGACAATGAAGGGTTGTAAAGGGGAGTATCAAGGGAAATGGACAACAACATTGTTCACAGGAAGGGTCTCCCCTCTCTTTGGAGACCCCTGCTGATGGGGATGCAGGAGGAGAACAGTGGGAAGGACCTGCAGCAGAGAGAGAACTCAGAAAGGGAACATTCAGAAGAAGAAGGAGGAGGACACCGCTTTCAGAATAGCAGATCTGCTTACTCAATGACTCATACTTTCCAACAGTTAGCATGCTGTTATCCCCAGGCACCACCTGTCACACCATGGCAGTGTGGAAATGTGCAGCCTTTTGTCCTGTCTGAAGTTGTAAGCAGCACGGGCCATGCCTGGAGGTAGAATGGGGGCAACTACCAGTTCAGATTTATTTGGATTTAATGAACTCCCAGTGAATGGGGAGGATGGTTTTTGTTACTCTGTAATAAAACTGTAATGCGGGGGGCCACAACACCTGGGCTGCAGCCCACTATCGGGCCAATGGCCTATTTGGAACCGGACCGTGTGAGCGGTGGGCCGGTGCATGCGCCTGCAGCTCAACTTGCACAAGTCGAGCTGCGCGTGTATGTGGATGTGTGCCATTCCACAGCTTGTGTGGCTTGGTTCCCCTCTCCCCCCCCACTGGGCCACCAAGCTGCAAATGTTGGGGACCACTGCTGTAATGGATTCAAGGAGCTGGTTTTCTCAGAGATCTTCCAAATAGGATCTTTTCTGGATCTTTTCTAGATTATTGAGGTTTAGGTTTGTTCATTGATAACACTTTAAATCCTCTCACTCTAGACAAGGGGTCTCCAAACTTGGCAACTTTAAGACCAGTGGACTTCAACTCCCAGAATTCCTCAGCTAGCCATCCCAGTGATCCTTACGATTTGGTGGGCTGGGGAATTCTGGGAGTTGAAGTCCACAAATCTTTCAGCTGCCAAGTGTGGAAACCACTGCTCTAGAGCCTTTAGAGCAGGGTTTCTCAAGCTCAGCAACTTTAAGATGTGGAGACTTCAACTCCCAGAATTCCTTAGTCAGTCACGGTCACAAGTCTCACTTTGTATGACAGTATGCTGAATGATCCACAGTGATTTGTTAATAACTGTGGTTGGAACTGACGTTATAAGTTGGAGCAGTCATGTGATGCTATGCTGAATGACTGTGCCACTTAGCAATGGAGTTGTCGGTCCCAATTGTGGTCAGTAAGTGAGGACTACCTGATTCCTTTACATCAGAGTTCCCCAATTCCCGAGTTGGCAGCCTGGGGGGGGGGGGGAAGAGGGGATGCTTTTGTGGGAGGGGCAGGTGTGAGTGCATGTGCACGATGTGCATGAGCACCTATTGCTCATGTGACTGAAGCCGAGAGCACCCCCAACAACCCCTGTGTGAGTGGGGCTGTGCTTGTGTGAGTAGGGCCGTGCACCAGCCAGCCACTCATGTGGCCCGGTTGTGAATAGGCCACAGACTGGTAATGGGTTGTGGCCCACAGGTTGGGGATCCCTGCTTTACATCCTTAGACTATAAAATGTCTGTCCATCTATCTATCTGAATATATTTATATCGATACAATATATATATAATGTTTTCTGAGGTTTTCACGGGTGTTTGTATGTAGGTCTTTGGTTATTCGGGTTTTCTCCCGCGTCAAATTGGAAGTGTCTTGGCGACGTTTCGACGAAGTCTCATTCGTCATCTTCAGGCTGGTGTTTTCGGCTTCGGCTTCCTTGCTCCTAGAAGCACGAAGCCGAAAACACCAGCCTGAAGATGACGAATGAGACTTCGTCGAAACGTTGCCAAGACACTTCCAATTTGACGCGGGAGAAAACCCGAATAACCAAAGACCTACACACACACACACACACACACACACACACACACACACACTAAACAAATACTATCAAATAAAATATAAGATATCTTTTTTATCCTTCGCAGGTTAATCTTTTCCTTTTAAAATTTCTTTGCAACTGCTCTCCAAGTTACTTTTTTTCCACTGTTCACTTTCCTCCACTTACCTATTTGTATGCCTGTGACTGGGCACCCACAACTCTGGAGGTTACTATATTTTTTTTCTGGTGGTTCTGCTTTTTGTCTCTTTGTCCTTTTTGGGACAAAGAATCTCTTCTAAAGGTATCCTCAGATTTCCTTCCGTATTGCAAGCTGTTTGCCAAAAAGTTTATCCTTTCCTTCAATCTCAACTTCTATTTACTTTAATATCATTCAGGATCCCATACCCTCCGCTTCTGATTTCTTGTAGTCACAGACTTGTATAACCAGATTGTTAGCATCCAGATTAACTTCCTTCCTTTTTCTGACAAACTCAGTTTGTGCCAACATTAAATGTCCATTGTTATTTCTCCACTCTGTTGTAATCGTCTGGTCTACACTATTATAATTTACCTAACCAGATATTTTTTTTCTCTCTCAATATTTTAAATTACAGGTAGTACCCTCATGATCAGTGGTGGGATTCAAATAGGTGAACAACCGGTTCTCTGTGTGGATGCTGCTTCCGGAAGTCCATTCTGGGCCTGGGCAACAAAAACTTAGCTACTGGTTTTGCCAAAGTGGTGCAAATCGGCTGAATCCCACCACTACTCATGATGTTACCTAGTTTGGGTAATGAAACATCTGCAAGAAAACAACCAAGCTCAGGGGGCACCAAGGACCCCCAGGTTTGTCACATACCTTGCATTTAACTGTAGTTAATATTTTCTAATTTGCTTTAAAATGCCAGATTTAGAATTCTTTCCTTGGAGATATCTGCAAATAGCAGTACCAGGCTTGTCACATAAGAATCTGCCTCAAACCCTTTTAAGGAGCTCACCTTCACTAGTTTCTCAAAAGTGTGAAGGAAGGAAGGAAGTATGGCCTTCCTCAACAGTAGTAGACTTCTTGGCTATACTCTTAGCCTCTCTATGTTTAAATATGTGCGGCCACTTCTCCATAGCTGATGGAGAAGAATTAACGAGGACAATCCTGTCAGGGGGTTGGACTACAAGACCTTCAAGGTCCCTTCCAACTCTGTTATTCTGTTGTATATTCAGTGCAATCCGTCAACGCAACAGGGTGACCAGTTTTGGGGGTTGATTCTTTCTTGTGAATTTGCTATGCAACGGTTAGCAGGAGGTGACATTGCTTTCGCGCTGCTCCCAATAAAATTTTATCCCTACGATAGCGGCAGTGCGGATAAACACAGAGCATCAACCAGAAACATTTTTGTCTTACAAGTTCAGCCTCTTAGTTTTGGCCTCAAAAAACACCCCAGATGCATAAATAAAGCATGAATGAAAAACCTGCTGCAGAGTCCCGGCTGGCTGTTGTGAAAGACTGAGAAACAGCATCCAGAAAAACAGGTGGCTGTGCTATTTCAGTATTGCATTTGTCAATATTAATATTGATTAATCACATGGTTGCCTTGTTTTGGCTGCTTTTAATGCAAAGTGTGCTTTCTATTCCCTGTTTTCGATTAGGCAGTTTTCTTTCCACTTCACAGTCAGTGAGCTCTGCCGATTCCCGTTGAGTCACCCAGTGTAATTAATATTATGTTATTTACCCATGTTTGTCATTTGGGTAGCAAGATGACTCATCTTTGAAAGAAACAGCCAGATCCAAGCAAGAGCTTCTAGCATTTTGCTTCCTTTTTTTCACATGGAATATGAACCAATGGTGACCTTTGAAACAAACTGAGTCACGCAGATATAATATTTACCTCTCGCTGCGAGGCTGAGATTATCTTCAAATATCTCCTGCAAATATAAATAATTGGGGAAAAAATAGGAGGGAATCGGACAAGTTCCTTTTAGTGGGTTCACCATCCTGTAGCTAATTATATTCCGAGGGTGCAAGAGCAAAGAGGGGCTTTTGTGCAATTGCTTGCTTGATTTCTTTTTAACATCTCAACCATCAGCATATAAATAAAAGGACTCACAATTGTGGGGTTTTTTTGCCACAGCTCCTTGACTCTGCTGTAGGGAAAAAATAAAATATAATTAGACGTAGCCTTTTTTATGCAATAGCATAAACTGAAATAAGCATGGCCTGATGCATTTTCTTCATTATAAAAACATAGGGTAAGGTAGGAGTGTTTAACTGGGTGGTTCCCATATTTTCTGAATTTTTCTTAAATAGTCTGTGACTGTAGAAAGCTTTGGAAGAGCTACCTTACAGGAGCGTTTTAGAGAAAGGCTGGTGAGGAGTAGATGATGATGGGAAAAGTCTCAGTCTTCCCAGCTACATCTTTTGCTCAGTCTTCCTTCTCTGGTGCAGCTTCTGATTATGGGTATTATTATTATTAGTGTATGTCATTGTTACAGTAGCCAGGAGACTACAATCCTATTGCAGAGTAGTTTGGCTGCCAATTTATTGCTCTGTTGTAGGAAATGCGCACTTTCTAAGGTGCACCACAAGAGGGCGAGCTGGCTTTGCACCAGAAAGAAAGACAGGTGGCTCTTACTGCAGCATCATCCTAGGCCAGGGGTAGGCAACCTTGGCTCTTTTATGACTGTGGACTTCAACTCCCAGAATTCCTGAGCCAGCCATGCTGAGGGGAAAGGGAGACCTTTCCCCTCAGCATGGCTGGCTCAGGAATTCTGGGAGTTGAAGTCCACAGTCATAAAAGAGCCAAGGTTGCCTACCCCTGGCCTAGGCCCTCTTCCTTCCCTGGAACTTCCTCAGAAATGGGTGTCACAACCTGGAAGGTTCAGAGTCAGCAGGAATCCGATTGCCTGCACAGAGCACAACTAGTCTTCATACCAAAGTGGTACCTATTTATCTACTTGCATAGTAGATAAATAGAACATGCTTTCAAACTGGACAGAAGCTAAGGCGAGTGACGGGGGCTCATCCTGCCACAAAGTGCCAGTACTTGAATCACTAGAGCAGAGACCATCTCCGGCATCATTAAGCCACTGAGTCACCATGCCTCTTGGTTATGGGTTATGGAATACTTTCCCATGGACACCACCTATTTTCCTAAAAAAAGGAAATGCTTCGATCAAACTTTTTTTTTTTTTGCAGAAAGCAAGTATTGCTATTTATATTATATGTCTAAGCATTCTTTCTGGGATGTGCATGAAATATTGTTAACATGTATATAACCTACATGCTTGTTTCCTATAATCTATCAATAATCAGGGTGAGGGTTCACTCAAATCTTAATAATGATGATCTAGGAAACTCTGTAATATCCCCTCCTGGTCAAAGTAGCTGTGAGGCATGTCACCAGAGAACAGAAGCAAGGCATTCCTCAGAGTGGTCAAAAAAGTCAAGATGGCAGCCATAGTAGCCTGATCAAAGTTCTGCCTCTTTTTTTACATAAATTCTGAGATGCATGAAAAATCTCAGAGCTTCAATTGCATTATTGACTTTTTTTAAAAAAATCTTAATTTAATTATTTGCATTTGGTTTATTTATATACTACCTCACTGCAACAGCTCTGGGCAGCTTACAATAAAAATAATAAAAGAATACAAAACACAGACATGGAAAATTGCAGGCTGTTTGCCCTTTCAGGTTTGTTACCTCTTGTTTTTTGTTTTTGTTTAAAAACCACCTTTAGTACCGCTGTGGATTGGTTAGCGTTCCGACAAGGCATGAAAATACCTATTTATGGAGCTACATTTCAAAACCACCTGGTAGCTATTCGCTCAGGAATGGAAACGGTGAAGAAACGAGGCATCTCTATTTGCATAGATCACTCAGCCCCAGCTGCAGTCAGCAAAGCGAGCACAAATCATGTTTTCCAATTATAGTTTACTATCCCCAAACAAATCACGAGTTATTTACTGATGCGATTTGCATATCATGCTAAATCAGAAGCAGCCCCATTAGTAGGTAACACAATCTGCGAGCTCAGCCTAGAATTACAACCGGTAAGGAGGAAATCAGAAATATTTCAACCTTTGATCTTCTGCAGAAGGTCAAGAGTCCCTCGGGCTCTTCCCAGTCCAGCCTGCATGCTTTCAAAATTGCATTCATCAACACTTCAGATCAGTTTCTAATTTCTCCATGATGTCATATCTAGTCTCTACAAGGGCAATGATCTCCATGGTTTGCTGGGCTGCTAAGTTAACACCAGGTAACACCTGCTCTTTCCTGTTTCGTACACACTCAGCTGCTTTGCCACACCCTAACAAAATTCATTCAAAGGGCAAGTGAGGCACAGTGTGCCATATTGAAAGAGCTCTGGCGATTTTGGTGAAATGTGATCATGTAAAATCTAAGGAATTTCCCTAAATAAAACATCATTTTAGCAAAGAAAGAAAGAGAGAGAGAGAGAGAGAGAGAGAGAGAGAGAGAGAGAGAGAGAGAGAAAAGAAAGAAAGAAAGAAAGAAAGAAAAGAAAGAAAGAAAGAAAAGAAAAGAAAAGAAAAACCTCCTACAGGTAGTCATTGACTAACCCAGGGGTAGGCAATCTTGGCTCTTTTATGACTTGTGGACTTCAACTCCCAGAATTCCTGAGCCAGCATGGCTCAGCTTGGAAATCTCTCCTTTCCCCTCAGCATGGCTGGCTCAGGAATTCTGGGAATTGAAGTCCATGAGCCATAAAAGAGACAAGGTTGCCTACCCCTGGATTAACCAATCAATCACAATCAAGCCTAAAATTTCTGTTGCTAAGCAATACACTTTTAGGTGAGTTTTGCCCCATTATACGACTTTTCTTGCCACAGATGTTGAGTGAATCACTACAGTTATTAAGTGCGTAACACGGTTGTTAAGTGAATCTGGCTTCCCCATTGACTTGGCTTATCAGAAGGTCACAAAAGGGGATTACATGACCCCCTGGGACGTTGCAACAGTCATAAATACGAGCCAGTTGCCAAGTGTCGAAATTTTGATCCTGTGACCACGGGGATGCTGCAATGGTGGTGTGAAAAAGTATCATAAGTCGCTTTTTTTTAGTGCCGCTGTAAATTTGAACGGTCACTAAACTAATGGTTGTAAGTCGAGGATATAGGATACAGTTGGGTAAATACATGAATAGGAAGATTGTCAGATTATCTTCTTAATGGACACAGGTCTGCTGAGTGGAGATGTTAGCTTGCTATGGAAAACATATAAGCCTGCTCAAATGACCTGGATGTGCAGCAAAACATAGTATGGCAGCCAGGATTCTACCCATTTCATTCTATTCTCCTCTCCCACATGCCAGGAGCTAGCAAGGAATCTATGGGTATCAAACATGTTTAGTTCTGACTGGGTACTTTTTGGCTGAAGAGCAAGAAAGATGTTTAGGGGATTAGAGGCTAAAACATATGAAGGGTTGCAGGAATTGGGTATGCCTAGAAATTTCCTGACAGTGAGAACAATTAACCAGTGGAATGCCTTACTTTCAGAAGTTGTGGGTGCCCCCTCACTGGAGGCTTTTAAGAAGAGATTAGATAACCACTTGTCTGAAATGATGTTATAGGATCTCCTGCTTAAGCAAAGGGTTGGAATAGAAGACCTCCAAGGTCCCTCCCAAATCTGTTATTCTATATTATTCAAAGTGGAGGCTTATTAATCTGTAACTGACATTTTTCAACATTAGTCTGAAAAGTGGGAAATTGTGCAGCACCAATAGAAAACACTTATCCAAAAATGTGTTTCAGAAAACAGCAAGTACTGCTTCAGATTGTACTCATGCAGAAGCTAAGCAGGATCAAGCCTGATTAATATCTGGATGGGTAAATCTTCAAGGATATCAAGCTTGTAGGCTGGATTAAAACTTTTTTAAAAAAATCCCAATGGAAGTTATGACAATTTCCTTTTATATTCCTGCAAACTACTTGGATCGGTCTGTGTAGTTAATAGTACTGAACATTATTTGAAGACTTTCAAATAAAGAGATACATAAAGAAATAGAGAGGATTCTTGGGGTTTTAATGGGACAATCACTTAAATATGAACCAGCAATGTGCTGTAGCTGCCAAAAAGGCCAGTGCAATCCTAGGCTGCATAAACAGAGGGATAGAATCAAGATCATGAGAAGTGATATTGTCACTTTATAATGCCTTGGTAAGACTACACTTGGAATACAGCATCCAATATCAGTCAGCACAATATAAAAAAGATGTTGAGACTCTGGAAAGAGAGCAGAGAAGAGCAACAAAGATGGGTGGGGGGCTGAAAGTTAAAACATACGAGGAATGGTTGCAGGAATTGGGTGTGTCTGGTCTAGTGAAAAGAAGCATTAGGGGTGATATGATAGCAGTGTTCCAAAATTTGAGGGGCTGCCACAAAGAAGAGGGAGTCAACTTATTCTCCAAAACACCAGAAGGCAAGACAAGAAACAATGGATGGAAACTAATCAAGGAGAGAAGCAACCTAGAACTAAGGAGAAATTTCCTGATAGTGAGAACAATTAATCAGTAGAACAAATGGCCTCTGCATGTTGTGGGCGCTCCATCAATGGAGGTTTTTAAGAAGAGACTGGACAGCCATTTGTCTGAAATGATATAGGGCAGTGATGGCAAACCTTTTAGAGACTTGAGTGCCCAAACTGCAAGCCAAAACCCACTTATGTATCATTGGGTGCTGGGTGGGCGTGGCCCATTGAGTGGGCATGCCCAATTTGGGTGCGCGTGGCCCATTGGGTGGGCATGGCTGAGGTGGTAACGACAGACCGGGTGGGACTAAAAAGTTCAATCAATCAATTCCAAATTTGCGAGATCTTTTTTTTCCCCCTGCGAGAAGTTGAAATTGATTGATTGATTGAACCTTTTTAATTTTTTTTTACACACGGCGGCGGAGGCCTAAAGCGAAAAGCTTTTATAAAACCCAGCTGAAGGCCTAGGACTGGGGCGACAGTGCGCGTACCCACAGAGAGGGCTCTGAGTGCCATCTGTGGCACGCATGCCATAGGTTCGCCACCACAGATATAGGGTCTTTTGCCTGAGCAGGGGGTTGGACTAGAACAGGGATCGTCAAACTTGGCCCTTTTATGACTTGTGGACTTCAGCTCCCAGAATTCCTCAGATAGGCACGC